AAGCCGAAGGTGAGTAGCGCTTTCACGAAAGACCGCCCGGAGGCCGCTCCTTGTCCCCGATGTCTGCGCACTCCTCCCCGCGGCCCCGGCGTCTCCTGGCGCTCAGTGAAAATCGCTCTGTACGCTGCCTCTCTTTCGCATCATCAGTGCCAATACCGCACGTTTAATCTCTTGACCGAGCCCTTCAGCCCGGGTCTGTGGTAAACAGGAGGCCAGAGAGGCAGAGCGAGCGGGTGCTGCTCGCTGGAAGCTAGCATGGCCTGAGCTGTTACTAAGCATCGTGTCGACGTGGTGCCTAGTGAGAAAAATGCCCTGAAGGAGGGGAAAAAAACAGTGTGAGGTTGCAAGCATTTTAGCTGCCGTTTTAGCGCGGAGGCTTCCTGCCGGCTGGGTGTTTACGTAGGAAAACTGTTTTCTGAGCGGTTTAACGAGTGAGGACTTTCATAGGCAGTATGTTGTTATTCTTGGAGGCGTTGTGTGCTTGTGTTCACTACTGCTTCCAGCTCTTTATGGCAGGAATCGAAGCTTTCTTCTTGGACAATATCAGTGGCTTGCCCCACTTTTAAATATCTTCGGGCAAGGAAGAAGAATTTTTAGAATTTTCTGCTTCTGTGTGTTTTATTTTGGGTTTTTATTAATGTTTCTGTGTATGATAGGTGATGTGGTGTCTTTTATCTTAATTTACATCTGTAATTCACTAATCAAAATGACCTCTGGGCAGTGGTTGTAAACTGTGAGGTAGGCAGGGCGCCCAGGTATTCATTGTATTCGGGGGTGTTAAGTTTTGCACTGAAAAAACTTTTCAAATAGAGAGACGTCATCTCCCATGGAAGTGAGGTTAATGTTGTCTTTAACACTGCAGACCCAGTTTGAGTTTATGGATGAAGAAAAGCTTAAACTCACGTTTTTTAAAAAAAAAAAAATTCGATTTTATTTTTTTAGCATTCCAGAACATTTTTTTGTAGAATTGCAAAAATTGTCTTGTCTTTTGTTTATATGCATAAGGCTCGAGTGAGATACTACCCACATGAGTGTTACCCATCACAGTGCTCTGCCTCTGGTGTTATCTAAACAGCTTTTAATAATAAAATGGTAGAATTTCTGTTGTTTTTTAAACTTAAATTGTTTCTTTATTGATGCAAATGATTATCATTGAGGCAAATTTAATGAGAACATTGACATGCTTCCAGTTGGATGAGTTTTGGTTAGTGCTGTATCAGAACAGATTTCAAGGGAGGGGAGTTTAGGTAGTTAAATTAAAAATTATGTGTAAGTGGGTATGATTATGTAATGCTGTCATTCCCAACATGGAGGCATTAGCTGAACAACTTATTTTTCTTCTGAGTTCTATCCTATCTTACTTTTTTTCAGTTCCTGACTGATTTTCCAAATGAGTTGTTACTAAATAGTCTCAGAAGATTTTTCACATCTTTTTACTGTTTGTTAGGTACTTGTTGATTGATATGTTCAAGACACGACTTGAAAAAGATCTCAGAACAGTTTGAGGTTGTTTCAGTTACATAGCTTGAGGGGGAACTCTTTGTTTTGGGCTGAAAAGTAAAGTTTTAAATGGCCTTTTGTAAAGCCTCAATAAATGCTTGAGTTTTGAATGCTGTCAAAAGTAGTTTTTAATTTGCATCTTTTTCTTTCTTGCTCAGAAAAGAACAAAGAAATCTCCAAACATAAGAGGGAGACCTAGCACATACCAGAGTGCTAAAGTAGCTGGAAATAAAGCTGTACAGGGCAAGCTAAATGTGCAAAAATATGATAAGCCATGAAAACATAGAAACTATTTACACTGCAAAATACTACTTCAGTACAGGGTCTGATTGTTCATTCTTTTTTTTCATGCTCAATAATATCTTGTACCCCAGATGTTGCAAGTAGAACTGTTTGTATGGTAATGGAGTATATATTTTGAGAAAGGCTGTCATGATCTGGCTGCAAGTTAGATTTTTCAGTGACTTTGAATTAAAATATGTTGACTTTAATAATATTCAAAATTCTTTTGTATGTTTCAAATCAATTGTATGTTAAAGTTACTTCTTTTAAAATACCAAAATATATTAAATATAATAAGATACAGAAAAGTAATGATCAGTAGGATGTTATCCTCTCCCCTGCCCCCAACTTGTTTTTGTTTTAAATCCTACTCCCTTTACTGTTTTTCTTTTTGACTGAAGTTTCTGTTTATGTCCTGGTTGACTAAGTAGTCAAGTACTTTGCTTTGCTTTACACAATGTATTTTTAAGTTTTGTGATCACTCTTTCTTAATTAGATTTGTATTTAATTACTCTGTTAAATAGGGTGTGAGCTTTTTCAAGAAAGTGCCAGTTAGATCAAGGAAGGTAAACATATCTTTAATGTCAAAGTTGTCTTTCCCAGCTGAATATGTGATGCTTTCTAAACTGGCAATCAGGCTACCTCTGGCTGCAGACCTTTTAGACTTTCTGGTTAAAGGGGTTTTGTGACATGTCAAATGGATGTTCTCTTCAGAGTGCTTCATTTAGACTAGCAGTTAGAGACTGCATGGTGTTACTTGAAAATTATAGTGGCCATAAGTGGGAGTTTGTTAACCCTGTAGACCCTATGCGGAGTTTCATTTATGATATAGATAACCCATCAGGTTTTGCTCTAAGATGAGAATGCTCCTTAGTCTGCAAACAGTTGCAGTCATTGTAATTTAAAGGAGAAGGCCAATAACACATGAGATCTGTACCTTCTTCAGTATTGTATATTATAAAGTATATTGTAAAGATAAAATAAGAGAATAAGGCCTTAGTATGTAAAGTATTGGTATGAACTACTAATAGGAAAATATTAGTGTATTAATGCTTTTGCTGCAGAAGTCCCACAACTGTTTTAGTAGGCTGTTGATGGTAGCAGTGGTGGGAGCTCATGCACAAGCAAATCTTTGTGGCCTGCATGGCTGGTGCTTTATTTAGCTGAGCTACGTGGTCAGGCTGGTTCAGTGGGCAGATGATGGAAAGGCTTTTGCATTGTAGGCAAGATCTGTAGGCTTTTTTGTGTTGGAAGTTGGTTACAACCATGGATGCACAATCAGGATTTAATATGCTACTAAAGAGGTGGTGTGTTCTTTAGAAATAAGAAGCCATATCATTGTACTCTAAAAGCACTTGTGCTTAGTGGTGTTCTTGGTAGCAACAGAGGCTTCAGGTATTCCCCTTTTGCCTGAGTGCTGCATTGCACCAGGCTGCAAAAGGAACCAGGAACTTGTTCTGCTCTTTGTAAGAAACAGAAATAACTGAAAAATCTGTGAGAGAAGTATTTGAGTTGTATTGGTTCCATAATGGTACCATAGGACAACTTCACAAAAATGAAAGTGCCTTAAGATGACACTGGTAAACAGGATACATGTGGTATGCCTCTGAAGATGATCAGAGAGCTCTGTGGGCAAGACAGGGATCCCTAATTCATCAGTAGTTTCTTTGTGTGCTGCTTTAAAAAAAAGGTATTCTGATCTTAATTTTTGCTGTGCTTGTTAGCAGATGTTGTAGTATAATGTCTTTTGCAAGATATCTCGGTGGGAGAACCTTGTGAAATTTGTTTGTCCTGAAAAAGAGATGTGCAACGATAATTAAAAACTAGTGAATAGTCAAGATGTAATATTATTTGTGAATATAATTTCCTGTAGCCTTTGTAAATTGACAAATTTCCCTCCCTCAAGTTAATGTAGCAGGCAATATCACTTCAGATGGGAAAGAGAATTTTCTGGGTATAAAGTTAAAAAAAGAATATCACAGAATTGTTGAGGTTGGAAGGGACTTTTGAGACCAGATAGTCCAACCCTCCTGCTCAAGCATGATCCTTGATATTCCTTCAGCCATGAAATACAGCTCTTGGGGGTTCTTTTTTGGCCATGAAAATAATTTTGGTGTACTGAAATTCACATTGTATGGATCTTTGTCTTTACATATCTATTGAATCAAATAAAATTCAGATGCTAATAATTTTTATGGTATTAGCTGTGCCTTAATATACCTACATCACAATTACATTTCTTGAAGACAGGTGGTTTGCTGTAACTTATTTTCTTGTTGCATTACAACAGGTAGGAGGAAAGCATGGTTTAATTTGGTTCCCTGTTTTCTGGGTAAACAAGTTAGTGTTCTTTCTGAAACTACCAAATTCCTAAGGTCAAAGGTGCCCCTCAGAGTTGATTAGAGTCAGACCCTGATAGGCTGAAAGAATGATAAAGCTCCTACTTGGCCTTCTTGAAGAGTAAGTTTTTTGCTGTACAGACAAATAGTAGACTCTTCAAAGATGGTGATGCCAAAGGAATAGTCATGAATAAATAACATTTCAACTGCCAGAGTGAAAAGGAACTGCTCCTAACTTTTTTTTTTATAACTTGGTATCCAGTGATATATTAGGGGTTTTTTATTATTATTTGTTCAAAGATAATACAGCTTTGCAATATGTTATATAACACAATACAGTGTTGTTTCATTAAATGTTCTCAGATTTGACAACTCATGCAGTAGCTCTTTTGAACAGATTTGTTTAAATTAGCAAAATTGTTTTGTTAATTGGTGATAACATTTTGAAAGGCTTTTTTAATGAGAGGATTACATTCATTGACAGTGACTCAACATGCAAGTATTGTGTTAGTGTAATGTTGAGAAATATTACTGTTGTGTAGATTACCTTCTCTGCTATCTCTGTTGGAAGATGAGATATATTAACACTGGGTTTGAATAGTTTGCTTTAGAACATACAATTTAAGTAGTTTGTGCTGGATAATATTACAGCTTGAGGAAAAGCTGCTAATAATCATTGTGATTTTATAGTTTTATGTGTCATATTTGTTTATTTCTTTAGAGATGATCTTTGAAATTGGATGAAAAACACAGTTTGCTGTATATAGTAACATGAGTATTGCATTTTGTGTGTATGTGTAAAAAGACCTGATTTGTTTTTTGGTGTCTTTACTGTAGATATTGAAGCACAAATTCGAGAAATTCAAGGAAAAAAGCCTGCTCTTGATGAAGCACAAGGAGTAGGCCTTGATTCCACAGGATATTACGATCAAGAAATTTATGGTGGCAGTGACAGCAGGTTTGCTGGATACGTCACTTCTATTGCAGCAACTGAATTGGAAGATGTAAGTGGTTTTATGTATTTGTTTCTTTAGGGCATGCATTCTAAGTATTTGGAATTTGTTTTGAGTAATTTTTAATAGCAGTTGTTGAATTTAAAGCAGTTATTGTCATTAAAGCCATATTGATCCAAATATGTCTTACCTGGGAAGCTCCTGAATTCTAAGTCTGGCTTGTACTTTATGAATTGTCCTTTGAAAGTCATGTAGACCAAGCAGAAGGCAAAAAGTTGGGCCTGGTACTTAATTATTCCAGTCAAGGCTAATACTGATTAACTTTGTTCTTTTGTTGTGGCCAACATGAAAAATGATGGTGAAAAAAAAATAAATTCTAATAAAACTTGTGCCAGCAAACTTAAGTGACTATTTTAAGATTTCTATTTTTACTTCATTTTGTATTTCAGAGAATTGGCTTTTTTGCTGTATTATGTTCTCCTTATGTATCCTGCTTGTAAGATTACTTTATGTTAATTTCTAATGTTAAACACTTGGCCACGTTTTCAGTTGCAGGAGCAGTCAAACTACTGCTCTGACCATAAATACGTAGGCAACTACATATTACACTGAGGAAGGAAGATTGTTATGTTCAGTTTAGTACTAATTAATATATTTTTTTACTGATGTACTGTGCAGCATTTGTAGACTTCTAAGAACTCCGTAATTAAAAATTTGTATTACAGGGTCTCACTGAAATAAGTTCATAGTTTTAAGACCAGGTTTCCTTTTGGGTTGCTGTAAATTACTGCCCAGAAATTGGCTACTAATCTGAGGAAATAGACAGCAAAAGCATCTTACACATTCTGAGTACTTGTTATTGCCATTGTGATTGAGAAGGTATAACTAAATAAACATTAATATACTTCTGAATTTTCCACTGTTACTGAAGCTTTTTTAGAGGGTTATTAACTGAAGTTTTTTTCTGTATCTATCTGTCTTTTAAGAAAAAAATGGTTTGAGTTTCTGTGCACCAGTTTCCGCATGCCGCCTAAAGAACTATATCAGTAGTGCTAATAGAGAGCACAGACATTTTGTGTAACTAGTGTCGACAGCATGCTTGATTAACTGTAGTGTATTGCAAAATACTTCAGTCTTGTAGAGAAAAAGTTATATTTTTAGTGATGTGGGTAGGTTTGTCTGATTCAGCAGTTTGGGAGTAATAAAACAAGCTATATGAAAAAGCTTGAATTTGTAATGTAATTTGAATTAAAATTTTGGATTAACTCTTCTAGTTATCCATTTTAATCTTTTCCATGACCGCAGTGTGTTAATTTGACATTATTTTGTCTAAATATAATATCAACATGACAAACTTGCCACGTCTTTTTACTGATAGGATGATGATGACTACCCTTCTACGAGTTTGCTTGGCCAGAAGAAGCCAGGGTACCATGCTCCAGTGGCATTGCTTAATGACATACCACAGTCTACTGAACAGGTACATCTTAGCTGAAGGCACAATAAAATACTGTTGTAGGTATTATGGGAAAGAAGTGTGAAAGTTTTTTGAGACCAGGTCATCTGAAAATACAAGATGTATGTAAATGGCTATGGTATTTTAATTTTGCTTTAAGCTTGTTTCTGCTTTAGTTTAGAATTCCACAGGGTGATAAAAATAGCATTTCTGCATGTAAAGGCAATGTGGGTATACACACTAAACTACTAAAAATTTTTTTTTTGATAGGTCAGATACATCAAAAATTAAAATAACTGGAAAACTTAATGTCCTTTATACTTCTGTTTTTGTAAAGAAAATGTAATCATTTAGGTTTTATACTCCTGGAGTTTTCTGTCAAATTTAAAAGCATATAAAATAGCGCTAAGTTCCTCTGCAAAAAGAAGGGCGAAGGTTGACAGTGTGAGGTACTATGGTACCTCACTATGGTAACAAGAGAATAAACTTCTTAAAATAGTGAATTTTTGTCAGAAGTTGTTTCATAAGAAATTCTGTGTTTAAAAAAAGTAAATCCCAGTTACAGAAGTAAAATTTATATTAGCATAGTGTTCTGGCATCCCTACATAGCTGAGATTAAAAGTAAAGTAGGTCTTTTTAGTAATACTGAAAATGAATACAGGCTTATGGTCACCAGACACTTTTCATATATATGTTTTTTCATATGTGACTAACAAACTTTTTTTGGTTTTTAGTATGATCCTTTTGCAGAACACCGTCCTCAAAAGATTGCGGATCGGGAAGATGAGTACAAAAAGCACAGGCGGATGATGATAATTTCCCCTGAGCGTCTTGATCCTTTTGCAGATGGTAATTTATTCCGACTTTTCTATACCCTTTATGAAATTTGTTGTCTTTGTCTTTAGCCCTTTGATTTCTGTTGGCATGCCTATAAACTTAGTTTTGTTTTAAACATCCCCTTTTTATAGAGACTTGGTTGAAAACCTAGATGCCATATTCTTCATCTTTATAATACAAGTTTTCTTTCCAGGTAGAAGGACAAGAAAATAATGAGCCATTGCCATAGAAACACAAAGGGTTAAAGGTTTCTCTTTTCATTTTGTTTTGGGTTGTGCATTATACTTTGAAGAACTTGTGTGTTGAGTGCTCAAATTCTTTCAGTACCTTGAAAGTTTTCATTCCAAGGCATAGATTTACAGGGTTATTTCTTTTGAAATGCTAGTTCTCAAAATAGAGCACCTAACTCTTACCATCTTATGTAAACTTAGGTGGTATAGCTAAAAGAAGCAAAAGCATATATAAGACTTTGATACTATTAATAGTTCAAGTCTGTTCTGATAATTTTAGAATGCAACTCAGGAAAAAGGGGTATTAGTGGGTCTGACAGAAACTTTCTTCAGGTGAGTGAGTTTCACATGTGGCAATAAGGTGCCTTTTGGCTTAATAGCTATTTTGCAGGTTTTATGAATGACAATTTCAGCCTGCATGAATGAATAGGGACATTAATTATTTTACTTGCTTAATTGTAATTGATATAAACATGTATTGTCAGAATTCACAGGCCCATACTAACTGTCCTTAATTTCTCTCCTACAGCAGTACTGCTATATGCCAGTCCTGTCTGCATTCTTAAGGGTGCAGTTCAACACATCCTGTGTAGATTATGGTGAAAAAGTATTCCAAAGGAAAGTCCTATCAAAGCTAGTGTCAGAATGACACAGCCAATTGGGCAATGATCTTCAGCATAGAAATGTTTAAGAAGTTTATTTTTTTCCCTTAATTATAATGCTATACCACTTGTGTAGCAAATCTGCACATTTTTCTTAAACAAAAGTGTTTTTTGTGACAAGTCTAATTTTTATAAAGTTGGGCTTCTTGTAAAGTATTTAAAAGTTTAATTAACTCAAGATACACAGCATAAAACAACATACGGTGTACAAAACCCATTACCTGTGAGTATCATTATGGTGGTATTTGTACTGTATTGCATTCAGCTCCCAATCACAATTGTACCTTGAGAAGAGGGGGAAAGTGTTATCAAACATTTTTTTGGGGTTTTTTGTTTTGTTTTTTTTTTAACGGAGCCCTTGTACAATATGACACTAGAAGATCTGGGAGACGTGTCCATATTTGTCAAACTTATAGATGGGTCTTTATGGTAAAACATTTTAAACATTACTTAGGTATGCAGTAGTTATGTATAGTCAGATAATAACTAGGATTTAACAGCTTACACAAGGTAATGTTTTGAATATAAATATCTTTCCAAAGTGTTACTAATGGTAAAGAGATAATTTTCTAGGCTTCTATTCTGCTGCTTGAAGTCAGAACTGCTGATGGAGACAAAGGCACGAAAGTGTACGTATTCCGGATTAGCAACCCAGGAACCCATCACTTCTGAAGACTCTTAACTGTGTTGTCATTTTATCATTTATATCGGCTTTAAAATATTTGTTCAAAACTGCAGTAGTTATGTTTGTGTTCAAACAGGTTAAATTGGTCAGCAAACTGAATAAACGTAAGATAAATGTAATTTTAAAAATTTTCAATCAAAAAGTAAAATTAAATCATCATACAATAATATAATATTAGAGCAGGACAATAGAAAAAGTCAGTAGTTTCTGCTTATCCTGTACTCATTGTGCTCCATTCCTGTTGCTGTTCTTTTCCACAGGAGGGAAGACACCAGATCCTAAAATGAATGCCAGAACGTACATGGATGTTATGCGTGAACAGCATTTAACAAAAGAAGAGGTGTGTGTGGGGAGGTCTTTCAACTTATTTTCATTTTAAAACCTCTGAAAGCATGTTAAGAAAGTGGGAATGGAAATTCTGTTGACTTTTTGTCTTGATTTAAAAGTCCTTTTCTTTGGAAAATCCTGTTCTTCACATGTTGAAAGTCAGCAGAATTTAAAGATGAAAGTTTTGGAGAAACATCTGTTCTGTGTAATACCTAAACAATGGAGGCAGAGTTAGTTTCATTATATTTTAATCTGGATTTTTTGATAGCGCTTGGACTTTTTGTTGTTTATTTTATTTCAGAGGATGAGAGACAAAGACTTAACAGTTGCTGAGGGGTATTCAGTGTCAGGTGTTTGGTTTTGTGAGCTCTGTGTGAAGCGAATCCAGGGAGATTTTAAAAGGCTTTTGTTGAGGCACTTACAACAGGTGTTGCAGTACTAGGCACTGGTGTAAGGTTGACACTTGGTTTTAAATCTTTATTCATGGCTATTAAAAATTCATCTTGTTAATTGGAGCAAGATTTTGTAGGTCCAGTGACAGTGACCTCTGTAGATTTATATTGTTTTACCCTACTTGACTTAGATTAATTGAGGAATTAGTTCATAATTTTCACAATCTTGCTGTTGTCGTTCCATTGATGAGTGAAAAACAGTCTGGGTTAATGTGCTGTTTTAACAATGTCATCTCAGAATGTTAAATAAGAATTTCAGGGCTTTTTATTGTTGTGGGATATAACTCGTGAACACATTTTCTAATTCACCCACCTTTAACTTACTGAAGTGGAACTTGTTTGAAACAGATGTCTAATGGTTTTAAGGCATACCTGTAGGTGCCAGAAACTGATAGCACTCAAAAGTTTCCATGCTTTTGCATTTGTTGTAATAATGGCTTTTATAAGAAATCAACTTAAAACAGCCCCTCCAAACATGTAGCTGCTCTGTCAGTATAGGAGAATGAACTTGAAATTTAAACAGTAGCTAATTGCATGTTATTTGAGCAAAACCTCAAAAAATAGCATAAAAAGATATGATACAGTTGAAAAATCTCTTTTAAAGGTATAATCTGAGGAGGCCTTCTTAAGAAATCTGTTTCTTATGTTTGTCTTTTTGTGCCCGTGAACAGAGGGAAATTAGGCAACAACTAGCTGAAAAAGCTAAGGCTGGAGAGCTTAAAGTGGTCAATGGAGCCGCATCTCAGCCACCTTCAAAACGCAAACGGCGTTGGGATCAGACAGCTGATCAGACTCCTGGTGCTACACCTAAAAAGTTATCCAGTTGGGATCAAGCAGAGGTAATAATCCTAGTGTTCATCAGCTTCTCTACAGAAGACATTATTAATGCTAATCCTCCTGAATTTTGGAAGTTTCTTAGTGTACTAAAAATAATAGCTATTAGTCTTTTACTGTATAACGTGAGAGATATTACTGGTTTTGGTTTTGTCTTGGATAGACTCCTGGACATACGCCATCTCTGCGATGGGATGAAACTCCAGGCCGTGCAAAGGGTAGCGAAACTCCTGGTGCCACCCCAGGCTCGAAAATATGGGATCCAACTCCCAGTCATACACCAGCAGGAGCTGCCACACCTGGACGGGACACACCTGGTCATGCAACACCAGGCCATGGAGGTGCCACTTCCAGTGCACGTAAAAATCGATGGGATGAAACACCTAAAACAGAAAGAGGTATTTATGGGGAACTGGAAAGTGCATAATAAGTTTTGAATGGTTGTGTAGCATTTTTTCACCTGAAATAAACAATAGATTCAGAAGTCAGACAAGAAGTAGTTATATTCTGACATCTAGTGGTTAATGTGATGTTTTTGTCTTGAGTTTGTAGCATTGAATTCTGCCTGTTAGTTTAACTGGCATCTGTGAAAGCACCTCGGCTCAAAAATTGAATCAAAGTTTTCTGGTATATCTAGTGACTGCTTCAGGTTGGGATTTTAATATGTGAAGGACATAATAAAGGAGCTCATGTTGAATTGCTTTTTGTGATACATTTGTGTGTGTTGTTTTTGAACTGTTTATTTTTTTTCAAGAAGTTAGGATTGAAACAAATTTTGGAAGCGTTTTCTCACCAGCCTAATTTGAACTAGGCTTGTGTCAGAGAACAATGAAACACCACTGTTCCTTAATGCATTTGTCAAGAGAGTATGTGGAGTACTTTGCCCAATTTCCAGAATATCTGAGTTCTTTTGTATTTTTTAGAATTTTGTCTATTTATGCTAAGATTCAGCAAGAAGGTGACATGCTTTTTTCATAAATTCTCTGTTGGATGTTTTTAGTGTAATGCCTGTGTTACTTCAATATTCACCAAAGTAGGCTTTACTTTTTGTCTAGTATATTTGTTTGATACTTGTTGATTTGTGTAGACATGAGGATGAGATATTGAAAATGGGTTTGGATATTGATGCTGTAGTTGGAGTATATACTGTTCAGCTTTCTGCAACAGTTGTTTTGTTTTTTCCTTAGATACGCCGGGACATGGTAGCGGATGGGCTGAGACACCTCGTACGGATAGAGGTGGTGACTCCATTGGTGAGACACCAACCCCAGGAGCAAGTAAGAGAAAGTCGCGATGGGATGAAACACCTGCTAGCCAGATGGGTGGCAGCACTCCTGTTCTGACACCTGGAAAAACACCCATTGGTACACCAGCTATGAACATGGCAACTCCTACACCAGGTAAGCCCAGTCCATTCTCTAAGGCTTCACTTTCTTTTGTGGAAATGAAACATTTACCTTTATATTGTATTTTGCAATAGAGTTCTGCCTAACATATTCTCCTGCCTGTATGAAAGCAGTCAGTATATGCTCAGTTTACCATTTTGAATGCCCACAGCAACTCAGTTCTGGAGAACTGAGACTAAGGTTTTATCCCTGTTCCTGTTCAATTTGGTTGGTGAAAAATAGGTAAAAGGCTCTCTAAAAGTTTGATAGGTTACTGGCTACAGATTTCAAGTGCTATGGAAACTGTGGCTCAAAAGAGCACTTAAAGGTTAAGTAAAGAAGTCAAATCCTTCTGCATACAGAAGATTTTTAAAAAAATATTTTCTTTAAATTGTTTTTTAATTTGAATATAGGTCATATTATGAGCATGACTCCTGAACAGCTGCAGGCTTGGCGTTGGGAAAGGGAAATTGATGAGAGAAACAGACCGCTTTCTGATGAAGAATTGGATGCTATGTTTCCAGAAGGATATAAGGTAATTCATCTGCATTAAGATACAGTGGACCGTGATTGGTATTTTTCTGCCAGGGGTATTGAATTTTTTTTTTAAAACTTAGGTTGTCCCAGAAGTAGAATGTTTCACATTAAGTATTGATTATAGATGTTTATTTGGTTTGGTTACTGATTTATTGTAAGTCCATTAGAAAGGGAGAACAAAAGATGATCTCAAAGGCCAGTTGTTATTCTGCTTCTTGATGTCGGGAATGCCTGTCAAGGCCAGAAATGAGCTCTGAATGGACTGATAAAAATATTAAGTCCAGATGTAGAAAAACATAGAAGAGTGTCGCAAATTCTAAGTTAGCAGGTACACTGTGTTGAACAGATATTGCAGTGTTTCTTTAATACTTTGTAAAGTTTATTATCCAAGCTCTCAGTGGCGGAGGTGAGCTTTCTTCTGAAATATTGTCCATACGGGGTAGGCACAAATACAAACTATCAAGGTGTACTTGTTTGTATGGCTGTGGACGTGGAACTTAATGTTCAACAACGCTTCCACAAATCCTCGAACAAGTAAAATGGAAGATATAAGTTTAGTAATGGTTTGTATTAGATGCCTTCCTCCTTTTGTATCTGTTGTGATAAGGTAAAGTTTATTCTTTCTTCTGTAGGTTCTTCCCCCGCCAGCTGGTTATGTACCTATTCGCACACCGGCTCGTAAACTTACAGCAACTCCAACACCTTTGGGTGGTATGACTGGATTCCACATGCAGACAGAAGACCGGACTATGAAGAGTGTTAATGACCAGCCATCTGGCAATCTTCCATTCCTAAAACCAGATGATATCCAATACTTTGATAAACTGCTGGTAAGTGAGATTTCACTCACGCTGATTAAAGTTTCCTGATTTATTTTGAACATGTAGCAATGCATATTTATTTGTCTGGAATTATTTGTAGGTTGATGTTGATGAATCAACTCTGAGTCCTGAAGAACAGAAAGAGAGAAAAATAATGAAATTACTTCTGAAAATAAAGAATGGCACACCTCCTATGAGAAAGGTAAGATGAATTGTCAGATGTGTTTATCGAATTTAATTTTTCAAAACTCTGCATTTGTTTTCAGGTTTAGTTTCAGTTGTCTGTGGGAGTCTCTAAGATCATCTCCTAAACTTTGATATCTGTTTAGTGCTTTCTTCTTCTTCAGTATCTGTGTGGCTTTTTTTGTCATTCAATGTAATTTATTATTGCTGCTCTTTGTACAGTAATGTCAGTCACTAAGTAGTATATGGCTAATATAATTTTTTTTTTACAATTATGAGAAACTAAATATATAGTGCTGTTTTCTTACAGGGCATGTTCTGGATTTTACTTCTTACACTTAAAATTGGCAGTGTAGCTCTTAGTTTTAAGTTTCAGCCTTACACATGATGCAATACGCTAGCATTTTTTTCTGTGCGGTTTTGCTCCAAATTGACCATAACACCAAGCTGCCTAGATGCAAGTAAGTGCTGTATAAGCTGCTTTTCAGATGAAGCCGTTCTTTCTATTGGACCAGGAGCATGCTTTTCTTGAAAATGGAACATCTGGGAGCTAACATCAGGGTGTTTCTCTTTATACATTCGTTTTTAAACAGATCAGCATAGAGTTGTTTGCAGTAGAGTTTTGCAGTGAGAGGAGCAAGTATTTTGAAGCCTGTGGTTACAGTGTATTACATTTTAACTTGGTTAATATCTACCTGTTTTGTAATTTTCAGTGTTGTTTCCTAGTTTAACTGATAGGCTGTTTGGTTTTGTTTAGGCTGCATTGCGACAAATTACTGATAAAGCTCGGGAATTTGGAGCAGGACCATTGTTTAATCAGATTCTGCCTCTGCTGATGTCACCAACGCTTGAAGATCAGGAGCGTCACTTGCTTGTCAAAGTCATTGACAGAATTCTTTACAAACTGGATGACTTGGTCCGACCATATGTACACAAGGTCTGTTGCAGTTCACTGTTTCATCTTTGATTTGCTTTTTCTGATCATTGATGGGAGAAGTATGTATTTGCATATCAGAAGAGGATGGTACCATGGTTTTTTAATGTAATTGCCTTTCATATTTCTTCTTAAGCCAAACTTTAACTTCTTGTAGTGTGATCAAAGTCTGGGCTTTATAGTATTAAGGCATGATGTAAAAATTATATAATGCACACTTGGGGGTGGGAGGGGCATCTTATCAGATGTAGATGGTGTCTCCAGGCCAGGTCCTTTAGATACAAATAGCTGTAAAAAGAGCATAATAGATCTAAATTTTTTTCTGGTCATCATAAAGCTTTAAGCTAGGATCCATGGAATCACCTCCGTTTCCCAGAATCTAGTAGGGCTAGAAATATTACTAAAAGTATTAATGAAAGCAAATATTAATTTGTTAATCTTTTTCAGATTCTTGTTGTCATTGAACCATTGCTGATTGATGAAGACTACTATGCTAGAGTGGAAGGCAGAGAAATTATTTCAAACTTGGCTAAGGTAAAGTTCTGTCTTTCACTAAGGCACCGAGTTAGCTTACATTAGCTGCGTGTTTATAGGCATGACAGAAGAATTAACTGCTGTTTGTAAATCCAGTTGGTATGTTTTGTGTGTTTTTCCTTCAGGCTGCTGGTTTGGCAACAATGATCTCCACAATGCGACCTGATATTGATAATATGGATGAATATGTCCGAAATACAACAGCTCGAGCCTTTGCTGTCGTTGCCTCTGCTTTGGGCATTCCTTCTCTGTTACCCTTCTTGAAAGCTGTCTGTAAAAGCAAAAAATCTTGGCAGGCTAGGCATACTGGCATCAAGATTGTGCAGCAGATTGCTATTCTTATGGGTTGTGCTATCTTGCCTCATCTCAGGAGCTTGGTTGAAATTATTGAACATGGTAAGTTCTTCTTTCCCAGGCAAAGATTTTTTAAATTCACTTTATATTTGGAAAATTTTTCATACCCCAGTGAGGCCCAGTAATAGTAAGGTCCTTGTTTGGTGTGTGCTTTTGACACACAGTTTGTCTGACTGTGGAAGAGGAATTGTGGTTCAGTTTTCCTGAAAATAAGTTAAGCCCCTTTATGCTGCCCCTCTGGTTTTGCTTAAGTCACAAGAAGTGGTACTAAACACTATCTTTTGCAGGTCTGGTGGATGAGCAGCAGAAAGTTCGTACCATCAGTGCTTTGGCTATTGCTGCTTTGGCTGAGGCAGCTACTCCCTATGGTATTGAGTCATTTGATTCTGTTCTGAAGCCTTTATGGAAGGGTATACGTCAACACAGAGGAAAGGTATATCTAAAATACTTTATTTGGTTTGAACGGAAATGTATGTATATCTTTAACTCATTAGAGATATATTTCTGCATTTAAATAGGGTTTGGCTGCCTTTTTGAAGGCTATTGGTTACCTGATTCCACTCATGGATGCTGAGTATGCAAACTATTACACCAGAGAAGTCATGCTAATCCTTATCAGAGAGTTCCAGTCTCCTGATGAAGAGATGAAAAAAATTGTGTTGAAGGTATATCAGAATGATTGTTTAGCATTAATATTGAGTATGTATGTATGGCCTTTTCTTAAAAAAAAAAAAAGGCAAAAAGCTCCCCTACCCCAAACCCACCCAAACCCTACACAGAATTAAAATTGTTGGATTTTTATTTCATGTCAGGTGGTAAAGCAGTGTTGTGGTACAGATGGTGTTGAAGCAAACTACATTAAAACAGAAATCTTGCCACCTTTTTTCAAACACTTCTGGCAGCACAGAATGGCATTGGACAGAAGAAATTACAGACAGGTATTTGGGTTTTTTTTAGTTGCACAATTATTTACAGCAGAACAAAATTTACATTAGAATGTTCATTTGGGATAGATGCTTAATTTTGTCTTCTATGTCTTGAAACTGGGACTAGCAATTTAGGAGTTGCATAGCTAGAAGATTGTCAAATTCTTATGAGACTATCAAGACGTTTTACATCTGTCAATAGGAGTCTACATCAGTTGTGAGTTGGGGCACTTCACCCCATTTGTGGTGTTTAAAATCTGGATGATTTCTAAAGGTAGAAACAGTTGTTTGTAGTGTGCTTAACATGTATGATGCTGTTTCTCCTCGTCAGATGAGGGTAATTTATTTTCAAGGTGTAGAAATCAGATTTTGACAATGTTTACTTAACATTTTTATATTTCAGTTGGTTGATACAACTGTGGAGCTTGCAAATAAAGTTGGAGCAGCAGAAATTATTTCTAGAATTGTGGATGATCTGAAAGATGAGGCTGAGCAGTACAGAAAAATGGTCATGGAAACAATTGAGAAGATAATGGGAAATCTGGGGGCGGCAGACATTGATCATAAACTGGAAGAACAACTTATTGATGGTATCTTGTACGCCTTTCAGGAACAGACCACAGAGGTATGGCCATGGATATTTAGTATTTGGTTCACTTTAGTTGTAAGCTGGCTCACTGTTAGTTGTACAGAATGTATGCTTTTAAGTTAGATTTTTACAATCCTTTTTTTGCTCTAATCAATGAAATCCAGAAACAAGTTCTTGAATGTTTGGATTTTAATAGCAATTCTAGATGGTGTCAAGTTTAATTAAAACATAATGTTGCTGTTGGTCTGATTTTTCCTTTGCTGTTTTTGCACTCAGGATTCTGTGATGCTGAATGGTTTTGGCACAGTCGTTAATGCTCTAGGCAAAAGAGTTAAGCCCTACCTGCCACAAATCTGTGGTACAGTTTTGTGGCGTTTGAACAACAAATCAGCTAAAGTTAGGCAGCAGGCTGCTGACCTGATCTCTCGTACTGCAGTTGTCATGAAGACCTGTCAAGAGGTATTGTATTGACTTCTACCAAATTTGCTGTAGTATGTCACAGTAATGAGGGAAAAAAAATTAACTTCTACATCTTTTTACTTGGTTGTAGGAAAAACTGATGGGACACTTAGGTGTTGTGTTGTATGAGTACCTGGGTGAAGAATATCCTGAAGTACTGGGCAGCATACTTGGAGCACTTAAGGCCATTGTGAATGTTATAGGTACGTTTGTGTATCCATTACATGCCTGATGAAGAACAAAATGAAAAGGCATTATAAAACTAAATATGTCTCTTTGAATTCAATAGGTATGCACAAGATGACGCCACCAATCAAAGATCTGCTGCCACGGCTTACACCTATTTTGAAGAACAGACATGAGAAAGTACAGGAAAATTGTATTGATCTTGTTGGGCGCATTGCAGATCGGTAAGCTGAGTAATGATAAAATATTTGACCCTCTGTGTGGGCAATTATTGTAGCAAAAGCTGAAGCTGAGTATGAGGTTTGGCATGTGGGTATTTATTGTCCTATTTCTTGATATTTCTGAGGTTGTGCATAAAACTTAAGATGATATATTTACCAGATGTTCTGTTGAATGTATTGTAATTATATTATTTTACAAACACTTTGTAAGAAGTATGTTGTCCATTTATGCAAACTTAAAATGCACACAATATGATGAATTTTGAGTATGTTAACTAGTGAACAGATACCTAATTAAGGAAATTGCTTAAGCAGTATCCTTCTGTTGATAGCAAATGAATAAGTGCTGCAATTTATGTGATTTTATTTAAAAACTTTTAACATCACTGAAGAGGTAACTCACTTTATTCTCTTTCAGAGGTGCAGAGTATGTTTCAGCAAGAGAATGGATGAGGATCTGCTTTGAACTGCTTGAATTATTAAAAGCTCACAAGAAAGCTATCAGAAGAGCCACAGTGAACACTTTTGGTTATATTGCGAAAGCTATTGGGTAAGTTGGCCTAGTGTTTATCCACTTTTACACACAGCTACCTAATATAGTGGTGATTGTGAGTTTTCTTATTAGAAACATTCAAACTTCTTTACATTTAATGTGTTAAATGTGTAGACTTGATTTTACTCATTTTGTAGAAGGAGACAACAGTCACACATTCTTCATTAACATAGGGTACTGCACTTTTGAACTAAGTTTGTAAACTAGCAAGGCTAGAGTGTAATTAGGTAGTAAGAGCTGTATGTCTCATGAATTTTTGATGCTGTGATGTGCATTCAGACCCTCTCTTTATTCTTTCATAAACTCTTCTTTAAATACTCAATCTTTCTTCTCTTACTTTTCCCAAAATCAATACTTTTATTGATTTGCGAAGGATTTTTTACCGTAAGTCAGTAAATTGTAGAATGAAGCACAATTCTTTTCTTTATGCATATTCTTAAATACTGACTTAATGCAGATACAGCAAGCAGACAAGGACTGCCGTAACTGCACTTACATATACAGGACATTGCCTGTCTCTGTCAATGTGTATGGTTTTATGCAAGTTTGCAATTACCTGTTGGATCAGAGTAATAGTGGGGAGGCTACTCCTGTCCTCTAGGGTTTAAAAGAGGCAGAACGGAATGCAGGAAAAAAGCTGTCTAGAGAAGGTAAAAAAAGTTGGTTATGAAAGTAAGATCATGCAGTTGTTTACGCTGTTTGACAGTTTCGTGGTTTATGTTGTTTCCCAGTTACCTAAACATTTTTTAAGGGCTAAGCCATACTTTTCTGTCACGTGCTGTTTGAAACTCAAGTAATTTTATTCCAATCCTCACTGAATGTATTGACATGGATGCACATGTTATCTCTTCCAGACCTCACGATGTATTGGCTACACTGCTAAATAACCTGAAAGTACAGGAAAGGCAGAACAGAGTATGTACCACAGTAGCAATCGCTATTGTAGCTGAAACATGCTCGCCTTTCACAGTGCTGCCTGCACTCATGAATGAATACAGAGTTCCAGAACTGAATGTCCAGAATGGTGTGTTAAAATCTCTTTCTTTCCTTTTTGAATATATTGGAGAGATGGGAAAAGATTACATTTATGCTGTTACACCATTGCTTGAAGATGCTTTAATGGACAGGTGAGTACACTTCTATCTATGGTACAGTCATATGTTTTAAGTATATAACTGGGTCTTAACAATAGCAAATATGAATATTGTCCTTGTTTGCTAAAGATGTTTACTGACCAGCATAATTTGGAAGCCATTGTCTGCATATAATTCAGATTATGTACTTCTGTTTTACTAATACTTAGAATCATAGAATCATTAAGGT